AAGGATTCTGGAAACTAGTCTGGAAGCCCAACATCTAAAGGCAAAAAATTGTTTGAGGAATTGGAGTCTTCAAACTGGAAACAGATTTCATGGCAGCCATGTTTGGATGGGTGAAACACGCTGCCTTTAGAATACCTCTTCTCTTCTGTCCTAAGCTTTTCCCACCAAAATTCTGCCCCATTCTCTTTCAGGATAACTTGAAGGTTGATGAAAGCCACCACATGAAATATAAGGTCATTTTCAAACACTTATTCCTAGGCCCTAGAAGATGGAGAGGTGTCAAAAGCTATCTATTTGCAATTTCTTTATGTAGGAGAACAGCAAGGGGCCACTATATTAGAGACTACCAAACCCAGTCTCTGACTCTTCAGGAGAGTCCAAGCAGCTCTTAAAAAAAGGCAATGTGTCAAAAAATAAAGGTGCATTAAGTAAAAAAAAAAAAAAAAAGACAGAAGGTAGCAATTAGAATAAACAAGGAAAAAAATAATGTCAATGCTGCTTGTGACATAATGCAAGTGCACATCAATTTTCTCTGAATGCAGGAGAGGCTCCATGACATTTTATGTATTTCAGTGATCTTTAGCACGTACTTTTTATAGAACTGTAACTACAAAGGCATAGAGCCTGATTCAGTGGTTCTGCCGCGGACTTGTAGCTGAGGGGAGGCCAGAGGGTAGGCTCCGCTTAGCAGGCACACAGAGCTAGAGCTGTCCAGGTCCATCAACAACCCCGCAGATAATGCTCCAGGGAGCCCAGGCCACGTGGGACTGGGGGCTGAACTACTTACACAACCCTGAAGCGAAAACTAATGATGAGTATAATTTAATGGAATAAGAGGCTTATTCAATGCCAAACATGCCACAGTATTCCAACAAGATATTGAACTTGTTTTTCAGTATTGTATACAGTGTCCAAATTTTCCTGTGTTTTCTGTAAATGGAGATTCATTTTTTTAAATGCACACTTTTTTTTTTTTTTTTTTTACCTCCAGTATCCTCTCTCAGCCACAGAGTAATTGGGTAAAAATTAAATGATTCTTTGGAAATCTCTGCTGAGGCATGATGACCTAGAGCAGCGGTTCTCAACCTTTCACAGGGGTCGCCTAAGACCGTCGGAAAACACATATTTTCCATGGTCTTAGGAACCGAGACACCGCTCCTCTATCCGTCTCCAGGCCCACATGCAGATACGCCCACATACGAGTACCCGGAGACCCCTGTGAAAGGGTCGTTCGACCCCCAAAGGGATTGGACCCACAGGTTGAGAACCGCTGACCTAGATTAACCTTTCTAACTTAAACAAAATTCATTCGTCTCAAGTTTCAATGAGATTCTGGCTAGGAGCCTTCTGAAGAAGCAAACTGGCCAAGCCTGGTGATTATGTGGGGACCATTCCTTCCATGTGATGTGCTAATGAGTAGTAACACAACAGTGATAAGAACACTCTCTGATACTGAGCTTTCACTAATGGCCAGCCTCTGCTCTAAATGCTGTGTGTGCATGACTCATGTAATCGTCGTAGCCCTAGGAAGCTATTCTTCTCCCATTAGTGTCCTGTGTGCAGATGAGAAAACTGCAGCATTTAGAGGTCAGGGGATGGGATGGCAAGTGGCGGGGGAAGGATTCGGTCCTGGGACTCAGCCTCCATATCCTACGCTCACAAGCTCTCTCTAGACAGACACTGAGTGGCTTTGGTCTCTGTGTAAGCCAAGCTGATTTGCTCTGTTCTGTGGCTGTATGTTACACCCGTTATTTTTGCCATGAACTAATTAATATACTGACTCTCTGGGTGTAAGATGAGCTTCCACTTCCCTCTCTCTTGCACTTAACGTGGAGGAGCCCTGCAGCAGAGTTCTCAGGGAGTGTCCAGGTCCAGGTGGGGCCGAGATGCACGCTCCTCCCAGGGCTCCTAGGGTTCTCTATTCATCTTTCTCTTGCACATTCTACTACTTCACTATCATGTAGGCAAGTGTAGATTTATTTTTTTTAAGTTTTAAATCCTGCTTTGGATTCATTTTGCTTCCTGAAAATCTTGATTTCTTTTACTAGTGTTGGAAAATTGTCAGCCATTGTATCTTCAATGATTGTGTCTCTCCCACATTCTTTTTATTATCTACTCTAGGAATTCAGATGAAACATCGTTATATTTATTGTTCCAGCTTGCATTTTTCTCAATTTCCCTTTTTGAGTTCCATTTCTTTGTCTGTCTCTGTGCTGTGTTTTGATTAATTTTTTGGGAATGTGTCTTCAGGTTCTCCCACTTTCTTTTCTGGTCTGTCTAGTGTGCTTTTTAACCTATTCATCACATTTAAATCATTATATGTTTCATATATGAAATTTCTATTTGACACCTTTTCATAGCTATCTGATCACTTTTCACAGTCTCTTGTTCCTTATTGTATTTGTTTTTTATCATTACCATAACAAACTACCACGAGTTTGGTGCCATAAAACAATACCCATTATCTTAAAGTCCTGTATTCCAAAACAAGTCTCACAGGACTAAAATCAAGGTGTCTGCAGAGCTGGGTTCTTCATTGGAGGCCCTTCTTTTTAAGAACAGGTTTACTGTGGTGATGGCAGGATTCAGTTCCAAGTGACTGGAGGACTGAGGCCTCCGTTTCCTTGCCAGGTCATTCTCAGCTTCCAGCCACGGCCTGCATTCCCGGGCTCTGACCCCTGTCATCTTCAAAGCCAGGCCCAGTAAGTTCAGTCCTTCTCAGGCTTCACATCTCCCTGCCTCTGCACTCGGTCTCACCTCACCCACTGGACTCTTCTGCTTTTCAGAACTCACATAAACACATTGGGTTCATCTAGATAATCCAGGATAATCTCCCGGTTTCAAAGATCTGCAAAACCCCTTCACAGCAGTACCTACGTTAGCATTGCATTGAATAATCAGGAAACAGAAATCTTAGGGGGACATTTTTAGAGTTCTGCCTACCACACTTAGTATATGTCCAGTACCCTTTCTGATATTTTCAAACACTCTGCTTCCTCAGTTTACATTCTGTATTTGATCATTAGAATATCTGCTGTTTTGTACTTTGGATTCTGTTTCTTTTGTTTATGTTGGCTCTTGCACAATATGCTGTATGTCTTGGCAGGTTTGCAAGTTTTTATTATAAACGCAGAAATTTTTTGAGCCTCAGGTTGAAGAAGGGATTCCTCCCTTTGCCAGGTGCTTGGGAATCCTACCAACCCAGGATTGTTCTAAAATAAAGATGAAGGCTGCCCCACTGGTATTAAGACATTAGCCCCTACCCTGCATGGTTATGAATTTACGAGGGAGATTGTACTCTTCCACCCAGGGCAGAGGTTAAAACATTAAAGTTCCCTTCTATAGGACGGGTTTTCTTTTATTCCTCGCTAACATTTTTTCACTGAGAATATAGCCCTTTGAGATCCTAACTCTACATAATTTTCTATTGTGTAGAAACTTGCTGGGGGCCTAGATTTGTCTCCCATCCCTTGTTCCCTGTGTACCTATTAAAATAAAATTTCAAAATCTCTCGGGATTAGCAGTTGCCACCTTCAGTCCCTGCTTAAGTCTTTGCCTCACCATCTTTCTCTTTTGATGGCTTTCATTATTTTCTTGATGGAACAGTAATGTATGTTATACAGTATTTTTGATTATTTGGCCTTAAGAAGATCTCCCCCCTCTCACTCCTCAGTATCTATACCTCTGTACTATTATTAAGAAAAGCCTCTTTATTCCCTTTTTAAAACCCCATGTCTTTTTCTTCCTAGACAAATGAAGATCCCCATATTCAGAAAAACCTTTTAGTTTCTACCTGTTATATGTTCTTTTTTACTATTTACTTCTGGACTAGTCTGATCTTACCTCCACAATGGGGACGTTTGTTTCTGATATTTGAATTCCCAAAACTTAGTAAATTTATGCTTTCTCTAGAGAGAGTGCTTTGTTTGGGAATAACATGGTTAACATGGCTCTGGAATAACAATTTTCACTATTTTCCTTTTTATGTTATGTTAGAGTAATGAAACCAATCCCATTTGTTTGGGTTTACTCTTTCACTGCTAGCACAACCCTCCCCTATTAAAAATAAAAACATTTAATTTGGTAAAATCCACACAGTCCAATAAAGATAATCGTCATTCATGAACTAAACCAAAAACACTGGAAAATGTCATCACAAAGCTTCTTATCAAATAGTTAGCCATGTCAGAGATATAATAATATATCTAATACTCTTTTACATATAGTAATATATAGCACACATGCCAAGGCATGATTAATGTACCATGATATTGTTTTATCAATTTTTGCTAATAGGTCTCAGTAATATTGGCGAAAAGTGTACTTCCCTACATCCCATGTTAAAAAGGTGAGAACGAAGCCTTGGGTACCAAGTAAGATGAAAACACTGCACGCATTTGAAAGGCAGGAAGTCTGACTTCTAGAGATGCTGACATGGACAGAAGCAGGGGGGTGAGTGAAGGGTACACATATGCCTGTGAAACCTTCCAAGCACTTGCATGACCAGCCAGTAAACAGGCACTTAGTGAAATTGCTACTATTGTGGAGCTAAGATCTTATCCTAAGTAAAATACTGGGGTTTAAAGTGACAAAGATTTCTAGTTAACCTTAAGTAAAGATCAAGATAATAACAAAAACACTACCTACCACAGGGTGGGGGAACAAAGATTTGTTTGATCATCTGTTAAGACTGCCTTTTGAAACTTTCAAAGACAATATGCAACCCTCAAAGGAACAGAGCTTGAAGACTTGATGTAAATGGGGCAAATGTGAAATGGGTGAGTTAAGTCATTTTTGATATACCATGAAAACATAAAGATGTAGCAAGAGAACTGTAAGTCTCACTTAAACAAATTTGGGCTAAGTATTATTTTTCCTGTACTCAGCTGGCAGATGTTGGAAGTAATTCATTAAACTGATCCAAGCTGAAATGTTTATATTATTTTCTTGAGAGCAAAACTTACTCATTACAATTTGAAAAGTCATTTTATTTTTTCATAATGAAAATGTAATGTATTCATCATGTAATATAATTCAGCAGTGATAAGTTGAATGACTAGAAAAAAACAGCAATGTAATAAATACTATGGATCATAAATAAATGTACAACATACGATAGGGAAGGGAACAGGTGAATAGAGTGAACATAGAAGACATACACAAAGACACAATATTACATTTTAAGGTTTAAATGGACAAATGTTTTCCTGAAAGAAATGATTAATTTTGCATTGACTAATTAATAAACAGACGATGAACATGGGCAATCTATCGTATATAATTTCTTTAAAAATGTATTCCTTTAAAAAAATTCATCTTTACTATACGTAATTTTTAAGGATAACTTTATAAATAATGTCATTTACAAAAATACCAAATCAGATCTGATGACTTTTATGCAAATTAAAAATAGTAAAGGTGTTTTTTAACCTTGTCTTTCATTTTATTTTTAGCATGAGAATTGCTGTTTTAAATTTTCTATCTTTCCTAAGTGTACACATTTTTGTTGTTGTTATTTTTACCCCTTTAGTCTAATTTTAGAATGCCAATAGACTACTCTTTCACATCCTGAGTGCTAGACGACTATTCTCTTCCTACTTTTGTTTGACTGTTCAGTTATTTTTTCATTTTGGTTTGCCCATAAATAATTTATGGTTCTCTTTGTAAATAGTTTCAATTTTTCATTCTTTGTTTTCCCTCTGGTATTACATTTCAATGCTGATATAATGGAGTTATGTGGCTTTTTTCTATGTCTGTATACACAGTGATAATTCATTTACATTTCTGAATCTCCTCTTTTCATATATGACATTGAGTATTTCTAAAATAAGATAAACACAAGCAAAATCATTATACATCTACATAAATATGTTAATAGTTTTACAGTGTTTAGCTTTCTTTTCTAAGTATAATGTGGTAATGGTGCAAATCATAGCAAGCTTTATCCATAGCCCTTTAAAATATATTTCTCAGTGCACTGGAAGCATAAAAGTATGAATTATATTACTCTAACCATAGGGTCAAGCAGAAATTAGTCCTAATCTATGAGTTTTCTGTTGTTTACTAGATTTACATTCATTTAAACTTTGGTTTTACACCACCCAATGACCACAGCTTTGGTTTTCCAGAAAATTCCCTTGAACAACACTACAGAAATGATTTATCCAAGTACCTAATTAACGTGTATATTTTATTTTCTATTTATAGCTTCATGGGAAGTGTCCCAGATAATAAATTGACATTTGAAATGTTACACTGAACCCAAACTCTAAGATGAAGCAAATGACCTAATGTCTTTAAAGGTCAAGTTATAAATTATTCTTATGATGAAGCAGGATGTATGTGGTCCATGAGGAAAATTGCAACCGTGGGCTTCTTGATGAAGGCACTTAGATGCTCTTTGGTTGTATCTCAAAGGAAATGTGGGCTCTGAGTTATGACAGCAGGTTTTGGGTGTTCACTGGAACTGTAGCAGCTACACCAGGACTGATGTCAATGTGTCATCAGTTTTTCAGAGCTAAGTTTTGCAGTGAATTCTTAATGGATCCTAAAACTCACCACAGGATGGTCAGAGCATTCGGGCTTGTCATGGCATGGTCCCATTGTTAACTGTAGGAGCCCAAGAAGGGTAAGTATGGAGGTCAAACATGGGCACAATCCAGGTGAACATGCCAAGCATCACCACAGCAACACCCACGATATTAATGCCGAGTCCAGCTTTAACCTAGAACAGGAAAGGGCATGTCAGTCTCCTGAAATGAAAACCTATGGGAGAAGCAAAATACTGTTGCAGGAGGGCATACGTCAGATGTACATGCGTCCTAAATGATTAGCATCAATTGTTGATTTCACAAAACAAGGAGCTCATCCATTCATGTCAAAAGAGAATCTGTCCCCAACTAAATGGTATTTATTTGGAGAGTCCTGGGTCCCTCTTAGGAATATACTGGAGTTATTCTGACTAGGGAAAAATCCCTTTAAAAATTTGCCATTTCATGCTACATCAAAATTTGAGTTTTGCGGTTTTGTACATCAGTGCATAAGGTTCAGATCACTGTATGATAACTGGATGCTTCACAGTCAATATTATTAACAGTTTACCCTCCAGTATTCTCTTACTGAGATTTAATAATGTGACTTCTATTCCTCTTTCTTAGTTCCCATTTTTCCAGCTCTGATATCATCATTCTGGCATCCACTAAACAATCTCAAAGTTGCTTTCTAATCATTAAAACAGGCTGGCAAACGCCTGCCCATGAACTGTTTTTGTAAACCAAGTTTTTTGGGACCACGACCATGCTCATTTGTTGACATATTGTTGTTGGCTACTTACATAATACAATGGCAGACCTGAGTAGCTGGGACAGAGACCAGATGACCTGTAGAGCCTCAAATATTTACTCTGTGGCTCTTTACAGAGGAAGCTGCTTTTCTTTGCATTCTCTGTATGGAAACATGGAGCCCCAAAGCACAAAGAGGATACCTGGAAGTGTTTATTATAGAGATCCCCTTTCTGTCCCTGCAAGCCACTCATGTATTCCAGAAACTTATTTTTATTTTTCTGATTCACATACATAGGACATTGCTTATATTATATTATGCACATTTTCTTTACCAAAATGGTTATCATACAACTTCTGCATAGAGGCATTTCTAGAAGTTTTAAGTTACAGGGGTTTAGGGACAGCAATCTGTGGGGAAAGGGGGCTGGGACTGACCTTGGAACGGCATTTGCATAGCAAGCTCACGGGGTTTACTTTGGTCATATTCTTGTTTGGTTTGGTTTGGAAGTTGGCAATCAAAATTGGGGGGTGGGGGGAGTGGGGGACAGTGAGTGGGGACCAGAATATTCTCAAGCTAGTTCTTGACTACTGCTACTTTCATATTTTGCAAAAATGTGCACTTTTTGTCACTTTAATTTTCTATGATTACTTGCTTGTGCTTCCACTTCAGTGGCCACTATTAGAATCAGAAGAAGAAAGATGACTTTTCATCAGTCAGGCACTGAGCCCCATGTCTTATTCAGAGTGACTGTCAGTTGCATAAATATTGGCGATAGACAACCATAGTGCTGAATTGCAAAACTGCATTAACCCCAGTTCTTCCTTTTGCCCAGGTCAAGTTAGTGCCTGATCTTGACATGTAAGTTTAAGCCACCATGTTGAGCTTATTCTATGTTCTTTTCCTTCTTCCAGGGTGTTACTGATATATTCAATACCTCTGTATTCATGGCTGTAAATCCTAATGACATGTTCCCTTCTGGTTATCATTCTTAAAAACAATTCTAGGACCAGTCACACATTCACATTTGGAAGCAGAACTCAAGCCATATTTTCCTGTTCATTGATTAGTGTGTTAAAGGAGAGCTGACCTAAGATCTCACCAAAAAAACACTGCTATTGGACCTGATGGTATTCTTTCAGCTTACTCACCATGTCCATAACATTTAGATGGCCATATGAAAAAACAATAGCATTGGGTGGATTTGCTACTGGTAGGAGGAATGCAAATGAGGTACACAGAGTAGAAGGTATCAAAATATATAGAGGGTTCACATGAATGGCTTCAGCCTGTTGGAAAAGATAAAAAGGAGCTTCAGCAAAAACTTGAGGTAGGCACCAAGCATCAAAAAAAGCAAAATTATTATAACAAAATTTCCCAGTAGCAGGTTGAAACCTAAAGACACGAAATTATACACACACATAAATGCAGTTATACCTTGAAGAATATTTTTCAGAAAACATCTCTTCCTCTTGTTTATGTGTTTATTGGTGCCCTAAGCATGATAGCTCAGTTTATTTAGAAAGTAAAGTATCATTTATTCCAGAAACTAAATAAAAACAGCAATCTATTATTTATCTAGTGCTAGGTGCTAAGTATGCATAACACATATATAAAGTTTACATATATTATATATTATATAATGTATAAAATTATATATATCTGTAACTCAGTTTTCACAATGACCTTATGAGATGGCTACTATAGCCCCAAATAACAGATGAAGAAACTGAGGCCCAGGAAGACAAAAGTAACTTGTTCAAATACACAGCTGACAAGGAGTAAAGCTTAGGTAGATTTTCACATCCCTCTGGCTCCAAAGCTTCTAATCATTCCATTAAGTTCACTGTCTCCGTGACATATATAATTTAACATTTGCTGAGGGATCATCACAGAAGAAGTTACTTCAATTCTTAATTTATAGCATAAGTTTCTAACTGCCCCATGATGAAAAATAAAACAACAGAAAAAAACAAAACAATATTTTGCCAATTTCAACTCCCTACATTTCTTTTCTAATGTGAAACCGTAGCTCAAGAGTGCCAATATGTGCCCCTTGAGTTGGTAGCTGAACAATTCCAGAAGGGCAATCCTTCTTCATTTAAAGTGCTCTCCTTTCACCAGCCCCATCTGTCTCAATAAGAAAAACGTTTACTTAAAGCTATCTCTAGTAATTGCTAGCTAGGTGGGGAGAAGAAGGGAAGACAGTCTTTCCCTCTCTCTCTCCTTGCAATTCTGCTTTTTGCTTATCTTTTAAAATTCTTCCCTGGGCCGTAGAGAACTGTGTCTAAGATATTTAAGCCTGAAGTGTAAGCCTCGCTTTTCATTCACTTGCAGGTCACTTATAGGAAGCACTTCTCAGAAATTCAGAAATAATCTTTCAGGGGGGAGAAGTGGCAGAGTTAGAGGTCTGAATACTAAAGTTGTCAGGAATCAGTGAATCCTCAAGTCTTACAGCTGGAAAGGATTTAGGCTGACCCTCCCATACATCTGCAAATGAAAAACCTGGGCCAAGAGTAGGTCAGTGGTTAAGACTGCACTGCTTGAACATGGAAGGAAAGAGCTCTCATGAGTTGAGATCTCCTAAAAAGTACTCATGCAAATAAAGACTTTCCTGTAAGTTACTTATGGGAGGACCATTTGGGCCAAAAGAATATTCCACACCACAATATGAGAGAGCAAAGTAAAGACTGTTCTTTTGATGAAGAGTATAAATGGAATAAATGAGATACTCACCAATGGAGATAATATTGGGAGAAGGAGAGTAATGGTAGCTGGATTGCTGGCTACCTCTGTTAAAGATGTGACGAGCAAAGAAGATATCAGAATTATGAGCCATACTGGTAATGAGCCTAGAGGAGATAATTTATTTCCTATCCACTCAGACAGTCCTGACTTCTAAAAAAAACAAATTTGCAATAGTTGTTATTCATTAGTCATTCATTTTAATAGACACAATTTACATTTTAAAAAAGCATTACTTGTTCTAAGAACTCAATTTCTAAGATACCATTTTAATCTCTCATTGAATCTCTGTGGTTTGGTAGATCTAGGTGGCTTTGAGACAGAGAAGCTCTCAATTATTCTTATTTTAACACTACCGACATGCTTTAGGAAGTTTGAATTGTCTCCCACAGTTTTTCAATTAAATTTTAATTTTACCTAAATGGATATGGATATTTTAACAAGTGAAGACTTACTGTAGGGCTTTAAGAAAAGAGCAGCCCCTCTGGTCCACCTCTCTGTACTCCTAAACTGTGTTCCCCAAAGGTAACAAATTTCAACGCATATTAGCTATTTAGAACTATGCTTAGGTACTTACAGCTATTTTTAAAAATTACATTTTTTCTTAGTTTTCAAATTTAGACATCATTCACTAACTTCCTAATATGTTACATAAGGATTCAGCTTTTTCACCACTATCCACCATAAGTACATTTCCTGTCCCTTCATTCCCTTACGCTCATACAGCAACACTTTTGATTAAATCAGTATTTAAAGTTTACCATTATGATTATATCAATATTGTTCATACCCAACTCACTTAATGTACTGTGATTATATTTACCTTTTTTGTAAGTACCTATCACTAATTTTTCAGCACATCCTCCAGTAAAGCTGGAAAACTCCCCACAAGTAGACAAACATATCAGGTCATTATTCTTTTTCACTTTCCCTCACAGAGATGTCTATTCTGGGGTATTCTCTCCTGCTCCATCTGGACTAGTCACCCTTTATATCTACTCTACTGCTGCTCTGAGACCTCCTTTCACTAGTGTGCTATAAATTCCCTCCACCTCCCTCTTGTGTGGGAATGCTTTCTTTGTGTGGGACTGCTTCCTTTATGCGGGAATAACACATTTTTCTATAGCTTTCTGAGAATTGGTATATGGGAAATACTTTTTTTTTTTTTTTTAGTTTCTACATGTCTGAAAATCCTCTGCATTTTTCTTTCACACTGCTTTGATAGTTTATCTTTTGTAAAATTCTGAACTTGAAATAATTATCACTCAACCATTGCTCCATTTCCTGTGGCTTCCAGTTGGGTTCTTGAGAAGACAGATGACATTCTGATCTTTGATTCATTGCCTTGGCAAAGATTGTTGAGAGGAAGACTTTACTCCAGGTGATTGAGCTGTGAGTCAGTGTCTCAATTGATTCAGTTTTGTTACAGAGTAAATCTAAATTTTCTACCTGGGAGGAGAGAGAGCAGTTGCCTGTCTACTTAGGACTGGAGAGAGTATCTGGGAGGCTTGCTTATGCACTTTTTAAACCATCCTCCACTTTTGGTATTGGCTTTTGCCCCAGCTCTCAGCTCATCTGCTGAAATTTCTAAGCTCCTCCAGGGTCCTGTGGAAGACTCAGTTTGTTTCTAGTTGGCTCATCCTTCTGCAGGCTCATCTCCCTCTACTTTTTCTACTGTACAAAGCCAGTTACCCCACAAATATTCTTTTTCCATCTTTTAAATTTCATTAAAAGCTCTAATGTGTATTGTTCCTGCCATCAATTCTTTATCTTTATGAATTGACATTTTTTTGTTGTTCCATTATTGCCATTTTAGTGGAGAGTTGAGGAAAACAGTGTTAAATTTTCCACGTTTAATCTAGGAGAAAAATTTTGAGGAATGTGTGAAAAAGGGAGAGGGTGAGTTTTTCACTGATAAGAATTTGAATGTGACTACCAGCTCATGAGAGTTTAATCATGTTAAAACATATTTAAGGAGCATTTATGAGATAAGGAATTTCAATGATGTGAATGCTTTAGTAGCTGCTATCTCATGGTTCCCAACTAGAAGGGTTATCTATTTCTGGGCATTTGCTAAACTATCAAAAATTATAATTTGGAAAAAAATTGACTGTCTCCAAATCTTTGTAAAACCAGTTTCTAGGGACATATTTGTCCATATTTTTGAAGCTCATGGCTTCAATCTAACCACTGGTGGCAGAAGTATTCTGGGTATCCCATAGGAATCTGACTCTATGTAGATTAGGACTTTCATAGTAAACTAGATCTATGGTTTCCCTAATTCTTCCAGTGAGAGAGACTACTGTGTCACACTAAGTCCACAATTTTTCATTTCCTTAGGCTTTGCTATTCTAGGGTCTAGCCAATGCTTTTACAACCATTTTGAGTGTCTGGGTCCAATACAGACAGATACTCTGGGAAGGAGTGATAAAGTTCACATCAGTGCCAAAACTTCTGATTCTGATTTCCTCACAATTCAAATAAGCAGATAAAGGAATGAAAGTTATTTATTCTAAGAAACCAGATATCATTATTGCTGAACTGGAGGAAAAGTGTATTTGTCTTATATTTCTATCATTTATATTTGAGCAGTCCATAACACTAGCCAAATCTAGACTGAAAATGACTTTGTAAGTGGCACTCAGAATTGCACCTATTACTAAATCTCATTGCTGAAAGCTCAGTATCCAAATACCATGGAGAAAAATTCACAATAAAGTCAGAAGCAAAAACCAGTCTCCCTATAGGTTATTAAGAAAAAAATAGAACAAATGTCCGGTCAAGATGGCAGAGCAGGAAAATGCTGTGCTTACCTCCTCTCACAATCACATCAAAATTACAACTAAACTACAGAACAATCACTGAGAATCAGCTGAAGTCTAGGTGAGTCAAAGCCCTACAGCTAAGGAGACACAGAAGAAGCCACTGCAAGACTGGTAGGAGGGGCAAAGATGCAGAAAGAGCTGGTCCCACACCCAGGTGTGACCATGAAAAATTGGGAGGGATGTCTCAGTTGTGGAGGTCCCCTCCTGGAAGAGTGAGGGGTCCCAGCCCCACACCAGACTCCACAGCCCAGGGTTTCAGTGATGGAGAGAGAAGTCCCCATAACTTCTGGCTGTGAAAGCCAGTCGATATAGTGGTTCAGTGAGATAGAGGGTGGCTGGAGTTCCAAGTGCTCCTCTTAAAGGGCCTGTACATGGACTTACTCGCTGACGCACTCACTTGCTCTGAGCTCCATGCTGGGGCAGCAACTTGAAAGGCTCCAGGGACATATGGGGAGAAACTGAGTTGTCTGCCTTCAGTGCAAGGGTTGGAGGGGCAGCTTTCTCCTGGACAAAGATGCCGGCAGAAGTCCATATTCCTTTGTGGAGCCCTCTCCTCTCTTGCTGTGCAGATGCAGGTGGCTGCCATATCTGAGTCTCCATCAACCTGTCTAACACCCTTTGTTCACCCCACCCTGGATATTCTGAGGCCCCACTTGGGCACACCCAAGCTGCTTCCAGTGGCTTTTCCATACAAACAGCCTGCCTTGGCTCATGCTGCACTTTCCTAAAATCTCTCAAAGGTTCACAAAACCCAAACAAGCAGCATCTGGCTTCAGCAGGTTCTATACATTTGGATGAGCAGTCCTAAGCCTGGCACTAGTGACAGCTGGCCTTGATTCATGGCTTGGGCTCTCCAGGCACTTCTAACCACAGCATGAGTGGCAGCCATCTGTGGATTGCTTGGTGGCTCATGTCAGATGGCCCCAAGTAGGTCACAGCCTGTGGCTGAACTTAACCTGTGGTGGGATCCACCCAGGAGGCCCCAGGGCTGACATACCCAGTGGCCAACTTCAGGCCAAAACGGAGTGTCACCTGGCTACTTCCAATAATGACACACCCAAAGGGAAGACTGGGCAGACACCAGAGCCCTGTTAAAGCAAATCCTGCTCTGTAGGGTCAGCCCCTCACCACAGCTCCTCCACTGTAGACAGAGCCAGTCCTCACAACCAATCAGCCCAAGGATCAATCCGTCTCATTGATATGCAAACAATAACCAAGACTAAAGTGAAACAGGAGGGCGCACACAACCCACAAGAGAGACACACCTGGGGTGTCCGGCTTAGGTGACCAGAAAGACTGAGCCACTGAGCGCCACAGAACACCCACTACATGAGGCCACTCTACTAAGTCTGGGAGATATAGCAGCCCTATCTAATACCAAACACAGGGAGGTAGCCAAAATGTGGAGACAAAGAAACATGTCCCAAATAGAAGAGCAGAATAAAGCACCAGAAAAAGAACTAAAAATGGAGAAAAGTGATCTACCAAACTCAGAGTTCAAAACACTGGTATAAGGATGCTCAGTGATCTCAGGGAGAACTTCAACATAGAGATAGGAAACATAAAAATGAAGATAGAAAATAGAAAAAAGCAGCAGTCAGAAATAGAGAATATGATAACTGAAATGAATAATACATTAGAGGAAATCAACAGGAGATTAGAAGAAACAAAGGATCAAATCAGTGATTTAGAAGACAAGGTAGCAGAAAACACCCAAACAGAACAGTAAAAAGAAAAAAAGAATCTAAAAAAATGAGGACAGTTTAAAAGGAGCCTCTGGGACAACAACAAGCATACTGACATTCTCATCATGGAGGTACTAGAAGAAGAAGGGAGAGAGAGCAAGGAATTGAAAATATATTTGAAGAAATAATGACAGAAAACTTCCCTAACCTGGAAAAGAAAATAGCCATCTATGCCCAGGAAATGCAGAAAGTCCCAAAAAAGATGAACCTAAAGAGGCCCACAACAAGACACATCATAATTAAAGTGCCAAAAGTTAAAGACAAAAAAAGAACCTTAAGGGCTGGCCGAGTGGCTCAGTTAGTTAAGAGCTCGCTCAAGAGTGTGAGCTCTGAGCAACAGTGGTTCTATTCCTGGCCCGAGCTGAGCAGCTGCTGAGCTGCCAACAGGTGGCAGGATGGCTCAGCTTAAAGAAAAAAAAAAAGAATCTTAAGAGAAAAAGCAGTTAGTTACCAACAAAGGAGCTCCCATAACACTGTCAACTGATTTCTCAACAGAAATTTTGCACGCCAGAAGGGATTGGCACAAAATATTCAGTGATGATAAAGCAAGGACCTACAACCAAGATTACTCTACCCAGTAAAGCTATCATTTAGAATTGAAGGACAGATAGAGACCTCCCCAGACAAGAAAAAGCTAAAGGAGTTCATCAAGCCAGTATTATGAGGAATCTTAGATGGACTTCTTTAAGATGAAAAAAGAATAAAATAAAATAAAAAATATGAATAATAAAATGGCAATAACTACATAGCAACAATTCATACTTTAAATGTAAATGAATTAAATGCTCCAATCAAAAGACATAGAGTAACTTAATGGATAAAAAAACAAGACCCTTACATATGCTGCCTATAAGAGACTCACTTCAGCTAGAAAGGCACACATCGCCTGAAGGTAAAGAGATAGAAAAATATATTTCATAAAAATGGGACCAAACAAAAAGCTGGGTAGCAATATTTATACTAGAGAAAATAGACTTTAAAACAAAGGTTATAACAAGAGACAAAGAAGGAACCAGTAACTCCAATTCTGACTATTTAAAGAAACCCAAAATACTGCTTCAGGGGGATGTGTGCATCCGTATGTTCATTGCAGCATTGTTTACAATAACCAATATGTGAGGGCTGCTGGGTGTCCCTGAATAGATGAACAGATAAAGAAGAGGTGGCCCATATATACTATGGACTATTACTGGGCCATAAAAAACAATGAAATCTTGCCATTTGGAACAACATGGTTGGACCTAGAGGGTATTATATTGAGTGGAGTAAGTTAGACAGAGAACGATAAATGCCATATGATTTCACTTACACGTGGAATCTAAAAAACAAAACAAACAAAACAGAAACAAACTCAAAGATTCAGAGAACAATTTGATAGTTGCTAGATGGGAGGGGGCTTGGAGGTGAGTGAAAAAGGAGAAGGGGTTAAGAAGTATAAGTTGGTTGTTACACAGTAGTCATGGGGAGATAGGGTATAGCATAAGGAATATAGTCAATAATATTGTAATAACTATGTATGGTGTCAGATGGGTACTAGATTTATCGGGGTGATAGATGGGAGAAAATTTGGGAGGCAGGGTGAAAAAGATGCAGGGATTAAGAAGTACAAATTGGTTGTTACAAAATACTCATGGGAATGTAAAGTAAAGCATAGGGAATATAGTTTATAATATGGTAATAACTATGTATAGTGCCAGGTGGGTACTAGACTAGTCAGGGGATCACTTGTTAAATTATATAAATGTCTAATCACTATGCTGTACACCTGAAATTAATATAAAATAATACTGAATGTCAACTGTAATTGAAAAAAATTTAAAGGGGGAAAGTTGAAATAGAATGAGAGGTTCAAAGTTTGAGGTATAAAACAAATAATTCTTGGGAATGTAAAATACAGAATAGAAAATGTAATCAATATTGTCATAGCACAGTGCAGTGTCAGATGGCTGCTAGACTTATGGTGATCACTTCTTTAGGTATATAAATGTTGGATAACTATTGTGTACAAATGCAACTACTATAATATTACATTAGCTATATTTAAAAAATATATTTTAAAAAGTAGAAGAAAAAGATTATACTACATTAAGGTAACATATGTATGAATGCCTTTTAAAATACAGAGTTCCTAGTTTTACAACATATTTTTGTTTTCTTTTTAGTGTTAAGCAATATTAAATTAACTCTATTTGGAAAAGTGCATTATTGAAGTATCTCCCAAGTGAGCTTAATCATGCAATAACCATTTAGCTCTTCAGAGAAGACTGAAAATGTGATTTGCCTCAACACAGACTGTAAAGGGGAAACACTTCCAGTTAAATGAACAGTTGAAGCCTAAGTCTTAAATAAATTGGAGGGGGGGGGGGGAAGAAGAGAACAGAACAGGTAGTTTTTTGCCTTGAAAAGTATAAAAGTTGAACTTCCCAGAAACTAAAAGGCTGGACACAATCCCTCCCTCACTATCCTTCTTAGTGTTATGATTGAATAAAAAAATCAAACAGCCATGAGCTTTGAATGTTTCACAGAAGACTAAAAATCAAGAAACAAGAGGTTTTTAATTAGTCAAAAAGTAGAGGATTTTCATGGAATTTTTGGAGCAGATACTTTTCTTACAGCAACACTCCAATGTACCAGGGCAATATCAAGGGACAAAGACTCCCTCAGACTTTTACTTTGTGCCAACTGGATAAATAGGCCAAAGAACTAGCCAACTCTATTTCTCATAGTGATTTTACTTCATCCTAAAATTGGGCATAATACATTAGCCATTGTTATGTGAAATTCTCTCTGGGCTTTATACAATAAACATGATTTAGTACATTTAATGTGCTTAATATGCAATAAATAATGTAATTAATAAATAATATATTAAGGTATGAATATTTCTTATTCCCCTTCTTCAACAACATTGGAACCATGATATATTTCAGAGAACTCTTAGAGCTACTCAAATTCATCATGAAATAGGTAAAAATGTAAAACAAAATATTTCACTAGGCGTCACTGTACATATGGTTTTTATATAAGTTCTTTCTTACACAGCTAGTCTTCTAATACTGTTTCATGGATTAAGAATTCTAATCTTCTTTGCTTTATTTCTTTTGATATGCTGTACATCATAAAGAAATGATGTTTTATGCTTGCAACCTGTAAAAGTTTTTGAACTCTAAACTGACTTCATCTGTGTGATAAGTTGACTGCATGGCTATTGAAATCTGTGTCATTAAAATAACAGGGTGAAGTTGAATATACCAAAAGCGTGAATGTCTCTGTGCTCTTCTTTGGAACAGTCTAGTTAATTGTTAAATGTCTTAGACAAGAATATTACCTCACAGCCATCTGCCAAGGCAAACCCTCCACCAACCAGAACGGCTATATCCCAGGGCATGAATGACTGGAACTCTTTCCAAGTAATCAGTGGAGAGTAATCAAAAGCAACTGCAAAACAAAAGCCATATAGCTATACATGCTTAGAAGATGATAACATGATATTTTTTCATTACCTTAATAGTCATCTCACAAGTGTTTCATATTCCTATGTTTTTTTTGATAAGAGATTTGATATGGAATTTGAACAATTTCAACCTGGTCAAGGTGGAACATTATATTATTAAAAAGAAATTCATAACTTGAAAAAATCCTTTGTAGCATATTATAGAATAAATTTAGATAAATTATATTATTTATAATGTTATTCATTCATTCATTCATTCCACTATAAGTAACACAGATTATTAAACTATACTATTCTTTGCTATGCAAGATGTCTGTAATATTATATTGGTTTTAATAGCATCAATGTAGCATTATAATTATTATTCACTAAAATTTATTGGAATATTTTATTTTTTTTTTTTCAGTTTGTGAGAAGGGTCATGATAGATTCATCAGGATTCCAGTTTAAAATAATTCAAAGTTCAGGTTAAACATTTTATGTATAATTCATGAGACCCTTAAAATGCTCATAAAGCAATTATCATCAAGATTTTTCTTGATATTTGGGTCCTGATGGCTCCATGAATTTTTTTTTGAGAAATAGGGTCATCCAAGAACACATTATATCCATTTAACATGTATGGTAATAGGCCGCCTTCGACATGGTGAGATTTTAAGGTTCCTATTCCTTTGCTATCTCTTTCCCCAAACTTAAACCAAATTTTCCCTTCACTGTTGACTGAAGTTTTGCTAGTTCTTACTTGAATTAAGGTTATATGCCCTGTTAAAATGCAAATATTTTTGAAATATACCTTTCATGAAAAGTGTAACATCTTATGTCTTATCTGTCATTTTTAAACCTAGTGTGAATGAGTTTATCAAGGGCAAAAGAATTAAAGAATGAAAAGAGAGAGAATGGTGGGTGGGGCAAGGCCCTCTCTGAGGAGGGGTTTAGGTGAGGATGAGGAAGTCAGGGAAGTTAAGACCAGCAGTGGTTCCTCAGCACTGGTCCCTGTCAGGCCATGGGCTTTGACTGCAATGATCAGAGTCCTCTGGGTTTCATAGGAATCATTGCTCTGTATTGCAACATCTCCTGATAGTACACTTTGAGATGTTCTAGTCTCAGTGAAGAACCAAAGGCAGTTATTTCTATGCTGTGCTGTTTACATGTGTCATGGCCTAGAAATCTGACTCCTTATTGATTCTGACTCAAAGAGCCCAACCCAAGGGCATGAATCCAACTTCCATCCAATTTCCATACCAATTAAAAAAAAAAAAAAAGGAAACGATAAACCACAATGCTACTAGACTATTTCCAGACCATTTTAAAACATTTGTCCCACGTTGGACATAGGAATCTTACTACCCAAAGCATGATGTGTTAGTATGAAGCACAGGCATGAATGAATCCTATGTGTAAGTGTGTGGGGAGGCGCCGGGGGGAGGGGAGGGAGAAGTATGCACATAAACATGCTTTCGTGTCTGTCCGTGTGCGCTCCCGGTGAATACCCTTTCTTTCCATTGTGACCCTAAGTTATGGCCAGCGTGGGGCTGACTTGCATTTTCTCCAGGACTACTAGGAGGCTGTCAATGCTCTTTCCCTTGAAACTCCTCACCTTTTTAGATCCTCAGCATTTAGTACCAAGGGCTCATCATGAAGTAATGACTTCCAAGATCTTGTTCCTATGTTTCCCAACAGTAAGATTAATTTTGATTATGGCAGGGGAAACTGGCTTATCCTGGACCAAATAGTATCACTCATAGCAGAATCCTAACCATGGTGCCGAAGGAAATCTACTTCTCACTTGTGCAAAGTAAGATGATCCTTCTTGTAGTGGGGGGACATGTGCTACCTGAATGGGGGATGCGGTGAGCAAACAGGGCATGTGCAAGCCAGGGGGTGTGTCAGTACGTCCATTCCTTCTGTTCTAAGTGCTACCTGAAACCCATGGAATTTTGTATCGTTTGCTCTTCCGTCAAATTCATTCAGAGTTATAAATAATACTCAACCAATTTCTCCTGTAGGTGTAGTTTTAGTCAATTTCTTAGCTGGGATAAGAAAGAATAGGAGTCCTACAAGTAAGGCAACAGTTGAATCTGTAGCAAAACCAGGATACCTGAAAAATGACAAATGTATACATTAAAACATGGTATCAAGAACCTGAAGGAATTCATCACTAATTGACTTTACTACGAGTAACATACAAGTAACAGTGGTGGTATAAGTTATTTATTCTGGATAATCTGCCCTAAAGTCTATGAATTTCCAGCTAAATGATTTTCTACCAAATAATTTAGTGGAACTGAAAATCTCAGACCATGTTCCCATTGTTTCCATGTACTTTTCTTCATTTTCAAACCATGTAGACACATGCTGACATACTATGCCAACATGACAAAGTTCCCTTTCAGATAAAGCTTACAGATCTGGTAAACAACTTTTTCTTTAATTTATTTCTTTTAACTATATTGGCAGAGAACTGAGGTAGAAACAATTGTTAGGCTAGGCAAAGCCCTGTATAATTGTTTTATAACATCATTCTATTAAATTGTGGTAAGTCAAGGATGTTTCTAGAGTCCTCTAAAAACTCTTCTGTAAATTGCAAAAAGGAATGATGTTTTTCTAAGATATAACATCTGCTTCTGTGATTATAAACCCTAGCCATATCATACAAGTCAAATCAACCCATTTAATGCTTTGTACCCTATGAAACTCAATCAAGAATATTAATTATTAGGATGGCTTATGAGCTACTCAAAAGTGATCACTGGTTAAATTAAGAGTGATTCAGGAACAGATGGGGTCTTAGAATCACCCGGCCATTCCAGCAAATAAGACAGGTTTCCAGAAGGCTCAACAGGTAAGAAGCACCTGGAGGCTAGATATAAATGAAACAGGCAAAAATAATTAGAATTTGGTTTTAAAAGTCAGCAGTATTTAACTAGTGAATTATTGTAGTCTGAGAAGAAATCCTTACACCCTAAAGATTATTTTGCTACCTTGTAACTCAGCAATGCACACATACTGTAGAAGCTCTCTACTCTTGTAACTTACTTGAACAATCTAATCATCAAAGAAATGCATTATTTTATTTAATCTGATAATTTTATAAAGCAGTTTGTTTTCCCTATAGATGTTCTTAATTTCATTGTTGAGTAAAAAGCTACCTCACTACCATTTAATCAATAAACGTAATCAATATTTATTATTTATTGTACCTTATTGCTTTCATTTCAGTTATAATTTGGGGTTGGATTTTTGCCAAATTAGGTCAGGCATCATGTAATCTGATTTTGTTTTTATGAAAAGGTGCGCTGGATTCAGTCCAGGTTCAAACAGATGGAATGAAAGCATTAGGTGGTAGCTATATATCTTGATCTACCATTCTAGCTCGGTAACTTTTAAATGCCTAAAAACTCCACCTTATAAATATATGCTACAAAATACATACTTTGAATAAAAGCAAGCCATAGATACTGAAATAATTTATTTTCAAATGATTTTTAAAACTATTATTATTTTATTATTAATTTATTTTTATTTTAGTTTTACTTTATTATGAACTAAGTTAGGCTGCCTCAGTATTACAAAATAATAAGCTTATATAAATTTTATTTGCTTTGGCCATTTATAAATCTAATTGCCAATTATATTTATATCAATTAGATTTATATTTTCAAACCCCTCCCTCTCTCAAATCTTTGTTCCTTTTCCTATTGTTTTCTCTCAGAATTCTAGGTAACATGAGCATCTGCCCATAGCAAATACACTGTTTACCTGACACAAACAAAACATCTCCTGAATTATATTTTCCTCTTGTAAGGAATAGAAATTAAAAACTAATTATATTGAGTTTCCTGTTGGGATTTCTGCCTGGTTTTTATTAGCTATTGTTTGATTTCATTTAGTTTTCACACACCAGTGTTTAGAGAAGACTCTCTTTACCCAGGATGGTAGGAGTGGGATTTTAAAAAGGAGGAAGAATTATTTTTTAGTTGGTATGGGTCCTATTACAATAACTACATATTATCATCAAACCATTAAACAATAGTTTGCTTTGAATAGCTTGCTTTGAATAATTGGAGGCTGTCATTTATTTAGACCTCTCAAAATGAAGTTTTAGTCCTAAAGGAAACAAAAAGTTTACAAAGCTGAAGTCGATTCTTTGAAACATGCTGCACTTGTGTGTTCACTAGGAATTTGGACTCAGACTTAAAAAACGCTGGCAATGCCTGTATAGCAGGAAGGCTCTGATTCAAGAAAAAAAGGGATTTCTTTATCCCATGTGGGAAGAATACATATGACTCAAATAATTTCAGTTTCTGCCCCCAAAATATATGGATTCTTGCTGGGAGATGTGAGATGGGAAGTCCAAATCAGAGACCTGCTGACTTTAGGAACCAGGGTACTTCAGTGACAGCTAGATTAGGAAAATGAATCTCAAAACCAAAGTATTTATAATGACATGTAGGATGGTCCTTAATTTAGAAAATTGTGCTACAATCTTCCCCCTCATTTCACATGACTCAGCAGGGACTGCTGGGATATAAGACACTGGGAGATAAAATTAACTCTGACCCAGCTTCTAACATTAGTTTAGAAAATCAGTCTTACTGCTTATTCAGGAAACCTTGATCTATAAAATAGGGACAGGCATGGATGTCTAGAGAACTAGGGCTAAATGGACACAAATCGAGAAAAAGACAAGATATTGAAACAAAGAATCCTCCATAGGAGCAAAAAACAATTAAGTTTGCAAAAATCACAGACTATAAACTCTTATCAGGTTATTAAGAAGAACTGAGTAGCATTGATTTCATACCATAAACACTTATCTTGCACTTTGTGTAGGGAGAAGAGAAGCACTATTCAAAGAATTCTCATTAGCTCCATTTTACAGATGAAGAAACTGAGAGCTGCCCACAGTACATGGAAGAACCAGGAATGACACCCACGTGGTGTGGCTCCCAAATGTATTCTCCTAACCACCACAGACCGTGGCTTTCCTGCAGATGCTATTTCTATTGTAAGGTTGTAAGGATGGAAATAGGCTTATTTAAAGGAGCCGATTTTTAGTCACGTGGTAGTTTGGTTATCTTGTCTGAGGCCTTAGATTTCATTCCTTACCATCATTGTTTTCCTGAAAAGAATAGAATTTAAAAAATCTTTTAAATGGAAAGGAAGAAAAAAAAAATCTTACACCATCTTTCCTAGTTATAGGAACCACTTAGGAGAAAAGCAGCGTATAAAACAGGAAAGGCTGACGAATATAACATGGAACACTTACTCTGAAAAAAGCGCAGACCAACCAGAAACAAACCCAGGATCTCGGCTAAACCATAGCAGGGCCATGACAACAAAGAGGATCAAGGTCACAATTTCCTGATACCTGCGGACAAATTCCAATCCTTTCATTTATTTTCTCAGAACATTTGTACAAGCTCCCTGAGCTACTGTCAGGAGTAATCTTACCAGAACACTGAACATTAAACAGTGGATGAGTCAATAATTGGAGAGAATCAGTGCAGTTAGAAAAGGGCTTTATTCTTCTGTGCATCTTTCAGCTTCGTGTCATTCTACCTGATAAATTTCATTTAGACAAGGTATGTATTTTGTTATGTTGAGGTAAGCACTCGCCTTCACAAAGGTAAGTCCATGTGGGGCCCTTCTCAAGTGTTATATACATACATTATGGACAATTATGTGCTTATTTGCCTTTACATAAATACTTTAGTATTAGGGGGGTGTGTGTGCGTGTGTGTGTGTGAATCTTACCTTATCGGCCCAAGCTTTTTGTATTCTTGTTTAATCACCTCAGCACAAGCTTTCTCTCTGACTGTTTTGGTCTTGCCACATTTAAGCATCTCCTTAAAACTGAAAAGAGTAATTAAGCCGGTTAAGTGACGGATTCTCCCTTTGTAGAAGATATTTGTGTGACAGCTTCATAAAATACAAATCTCCCTGCTGATAACAGGAATCTGTACTTTTTGCCTATACTTCCATCTCCTTCCTTGAATTTCCTCCTCTTTTTTCTGTTTTTGCCTGGTTTGCTCAATTTTCAATGCTTGATTTGGTTCCATCTTTTCCAAAACATCTTCCACTGATCTCTTTTGTTTCCAAGGCCTTTTGCGCCATTAGAATTTAGTCATGTACCCCTCATCTCTAATTTAACACTTTACTATGCACCTATTTGTTATGTATTTTTAATACAGTTATTGCATTTAATGTATTTATTTATTGTCCATTGGTGTACCTGTGTAGGTTTGACATCACTAGTCAGATAAATTAGATGAGGGCAGAAGTGGTGTCACAGATGTTTTCTTCGGCCCAGTATCTCTAACCATCAGCACACATAGTAAATACTTGATTCATCAACTCGATAGGACCTTTGTCAAATTTATGAGACAGTTGGTTGTCAGATCCATCAATTTTCAGTGAATGTACTAAACTCAAGTTATACACAGGGCACGGAAGTCACATACACTGGTTATGGACATAGTCCAAACTAGATCTATTCTCAGAACTGAAACCAACTCTATTACATTTTTTCTTCAAGTTTCTTCACCTCTTATGTCCTTACAGCCTCCACTAGATAATTTCCAACTTATGTCCAACAGTAACTGCCAATTTCTAATTTTTTAGCTGCTAATTTTAGTGGCCACTTTCCCCGGTGACCAATTTTTCTGTCCTAAAGTCCAGGGTCTTCAAAACTTTGAACAGTCTTTTTGTTCAAGACTGAGGGGAAAAAAAAATCCCTCCAGAGGAAGAAACAAATGGGAAAATAGCCAGATTCTTGTGTATTATTTCTTGGGCTGTCTATGAGTAGCTCAGTTAGACTACATTACATGGAAGTATAAAAAGTACCTCTGAGTATATATCCAAAGGAATTGAAATCAGGGTCTCAAAGAGATGCCGGCATTAATCACAATAGTCAAGACACAGACACAACTCAAATATCCATCAACAGACAAATGGATAAAGAAAAGTGGTATATACATACAATGGAATATTATTTAACTGTATAAAGGAGTGAAGTACTGACGCCGGCTACAACATGGATGGACCTGGAGGACATATGCTAAAGTGAAATAAGCCAGATACAGAAAAACAAACACCGTGTGATCTTACTTATCTGTGGAATCCAAAATCGTCACATACACAGAAGCAGAGAGGAAATTGGTGGTTGCTAGGGTCTGAGGGGAGAGGAAAACCAGGCGGTGTTAAAGGGTACAAAGTTTCAGTTATGCAAAATAAAGAAGTTCTGGAATAGGGCTTATGATCGATAATACTGTATTGTGTACTTAAAATGTTGAGAGGAGCATAGATCTTATGCTAAGTGCTTTTACTACAAAAGGGAAAAGAAAAAAAAAAGCAAAGACAGTAGGAGGAATCTTTTGGAAGTGATGGCTAAGTTTATAGTGTCGATATTAATGATGGTTACATGGGTGCATATTTTATTATCAAACACATCACGTTTTGTATACATTAAATATCTACAACTCTTGTATGCCAGTTATACCCCCACAAAGCAGTTTTAAAAAAGAACAAAAGTAGGGGCATTTTCTTCTGTAAAATTTCTTGAGTAAACATGACGATTTATGAGGACGAGGAAGACTGAGGTGGTGCGAGGGTAGCTATCACACAAAGACACATTTTAGTTATTTCTTTTTCAGTAACTCTGCTACTCAGATTTGCTTGGACTGTGACTCCCTTTGAAAGAGCAGGGTTTCCTCAATTCCTAAGTCATCCACCCTCCACATTCATTGTCACTCTCCGGCACACTCTCTAATCATGAACAGAATTAGACAGAGGTCGTTGCATTTCAGATCAATGAGATAATTTTTTAATTTGTACAGTCTTACTTAACTTTCCATCTCAAAATTTTACCCTGTCATAATGTAAATGCTTCTATTATAAGAAACAAATCCTTGGGCCACCGTGAGAGCTATCTGTAGAAAAGTAAAGAAAGAGATGAATCTCCTCAGAAACAGTTTTCCACCCTGTAGACTGCATATGTACTTTGTCACTTTGGCTGGGGACCCTAAATAGTTAAGTCAAAAGCCAACCTGGCTTCATTATTCAAGAAGGTTTATGCCTTCACAAAGGAACTGATGGAGCATATGACAATGCGTCCACCTCTCCATTTAAATAAGTTTGGTGGCACTGACAGATAAGCCCCTTTTCCCAAGCATGTTGGGGTCATTTATAATGAGTCAGTTAACTGTGTTAACAGTCAACCCACTAATCAGGATGCACTATGGCTTGCCAGGGGAGTGGCTGGTAATTTCTGTTTGTCAATCTAAAACCTCCGGAGGTGAACACCCTGACAGACTGAAAAGGACACTGAAAAATTAGTTGGATCATGAAGTGCTGCAGTGTCTAAGCAATAGTGGACAGCCAGGGGACTGTTTAAACATGCCACTGATGGTGATTTATGGACGGTGCCTAATGCATGCACTTCACAGGATTTCTTTTCCTCACAGAGAACGCATTCCAATACATTCTTCTTTTATCTTAATTTCACCTTTTTAAGTGGGGGGCCATTTCCAAATAATGACAATGGTTGCATACATAATTATTTATAAAGTCATTCTATACAGCAACGCCCCCCCCTAAGGAAACAGTGGGATTCTGTGAGGGGGCGCTTTCTCCATTGGTTTGGGTTTCCTGTCCCCTGCACGCTGCACTGTTACCTGCACAAGTGAATAGACCCCCAAAGGCTTGGGTTTCCAGGAAGGAGCATTTAGTGCGCAGCTGGCCTCTCCCCACTGAGGCCCACCTGCTGAAACCCGTGACATCCCACACATTTGCTTCAGCAGGAGCACGGCCACACGCAGCTCCCACAATCTGGACAAAGAGATCTTTTTAAAAAATCATCAGTACCATCTCCCCACTGCTGACAAAATTGTGGCAGTTCTGGAGAAAACCCAGCAAAAGGAAAGGAAGAGGGAAGAATATTAGGTCCTATG